CATTTGGGTCGACTGTTACCAACCCTACTTTACAGATGCAGTAACTGAAGGTCAGTAAGGGCAAGTGACAGGCCTCAAGCTAAAAGTCTTGACCAGAACCCAGGTGCTCTCTCTGAGGTGCACTTGTGTCTGTCTTGTACTGATACCAAGCGGGAAGGTGCCTGGCACTCAGGCCACATACCTTCTGGCCAGAATGGTAGGGTGGTTTGTTTTGCCACCTTGGGCACTGTTGCATCTTAATGAATGCATGACTGTCCCTGAATTATGACTTGTCAGGGTTCAGCTCATGGGCCTGAAGTCACCTGCTAGCATTCTTCCAGGAAGAGGGAGCCTAGAAGGCTCATTAGTGTTTATTTTCCCAGCACCTTCAGCTGTCTCTTCAGTTTTCAGTCCAGCATGTATGGTGGCTGCAAACCCACTTCTTTCTACATTTAACCCTCCCTGCTCCACAGGAAGACTAAAAATCATGGGACAGAGCCCTGGACTAGGAATCAGGAAACCCGTGCTCTGAACCCGCTCTACCACTAATCTACTGTGGGCCTTGAACCAGAGCCTCAGTCCCTTTGGGTTCAGTCTCCTGCTCATAAATCTAGGGTCTTGATTAACTTGGCATCTAATGGCCATTTCAGGACTACTATTGATCTCAAGATGGGTTCCAGTCTTCAGGTTACCATTATTCTGACCTCTAGATCATGACCATTTAAACCACCTTAAGCAACATCTCTCTCTCTCCCTATCTCTGTCTTCTGTGCATCTGGCCAAGAGGGTTTCATTGGCACATATTTCTCTCCAGGCTTCCAAATAAAGCCCAAGGAAGTTCCATGATCCTTCTAGAGGAGACCAAAGCTTGGGAAAACAGCTAACATATCTCATCCATCTGAAGGCTTTGGTCGTCAGAAGAGTTCACAAGGACCTGAGTTGTCTAAAAGATGGAATGTCCCACAGGAGCAAGGACTCCTGGGATCTGGCCCTGCCTTTGTCACTAACTCATAGGACAAGACTGTCATGGGGGTAACAATGGGGAGCACATGTGTTATGCAGTTACTAAGCCTGGCCAGATGACTTCTCAGGGAACTTCCATTTCTAGAAACCATGAAAATCCTTACAGAACCAGGCTGTTCATAACTTAGATTGCCCCCAGACCTAAAATGCTCTGTTCTACCACTGCAGGTATCTGGAAATCTTAATGTGTGAAGACAGACTCTTAGCTAGGGTAAAGCAAAACACCCACAAAGACAGCTGGAGCTGGGACTGAATTTCTGCCCCTGCAGCAGGCCCAGCAGTGTGCAGCGGAGTCTAGACGGCCAGCTGGAATCAGCTAAAAGGGCCCTTCTAGACCATCAAATCCACATTGCTCTTCATCTAGCTAGGGACATGAGAGCCCAGAGAGGGGAAACTCCTAGATTCCAAATCTCAGGTCATCTAATCTGCCATGACTTACAGATTGTTCTCACCTCTCCACCCCAGTGTTTAGCTCTCCAAACAAAACCCCTCTAAACATCACGTTCAGCTGGGAAATGAATGAAACAGGAGTGCATTTTGCTCCTTACGCTCCAAACATTCAAAATTCTAGGGATACTACAGGATTCCAGTTGCATGCAGCACCGCCTATTTATAAATTACTTACTCCTGTCACATAATCAGAAAAGAAACTCATCTCATGGATTCACCCGGTGATGAGGAGACTCAAGTCACATGGCCGATGACCCAAGAAGTATTTACCTAGGTCTTGACAAGGGCCTCACGACCCTCAAACACCCCAGTGCATCTCTGACCAACACTAACTGGTCAAATACTTGAGCTGCCAGCACTGCGACCTGGAGTGTGATTTCTGTGTCCTGAGTGGAAGTATTCCCATGCACTGACCTGAGAAACGGGGACAAGAATACCGCTAGCTGTCAGCTGAGTGCATCGCCTCCTTGAATTCCCATGGAGCCTTAGTGTTCGGGCCCCACAGAGCAGGCTCCCTGTCTTCCTGCTGACAGCCTTGTCAGATGCTGAAGGCCAGGGGTGCACCTTCTCCTAGGGTTCCCTCCAAATCCAGCAGCCTGGTTCCCCCAAGAGCTCCTCCATGTCCTGGTTCCCAGCCCCCTCCCCTTAGCCAGCTCTAGTAATGTCATTCTTCAAGAGAGTGGCCTGTGTTTTTCCTTTCTCTTGAAACCATCTGAAAGACTCTTCAAGAAAAAATAAGATGCGCCGATACGCCATGGCATTTGACTTCAGGAAATGCAAATGCTTCAGAATAAGTTGTTTTTTTCCATCCTTGGGTTTCTCAGAATTACAACTGAGGTCAACCCATCAAACATGCAAAGACCAAAGAGGAAAGAGAAAAAACCTGCATGTGCGAGAGGCAAGCCCAGGCTTGTACTTCTACAGCCACCTGTTTGCAGATGTTCACCTGACAGATGCCATCACAAGTGGCGCGGTGTGAGGGGGTCTCCAGCCAAGGAGCAGCGCTTGTTCTTGCTGTGACATGCTGGCCTCAGCCCAGGGCATGAGGCTTACTTCCTCAGTAATCTAACCTAACCTGTAGAATCAATGGGAGAATGAGGCCAGGTGTTATTCCAGCCCAGAAGGGAAAGGCAAGCCAAGCACCTGCATTCATCCTACTCAAGCCATAAGAACTTACTTGACACCCACAGAGGGAAGTAAGAGATAGACGAGATGATTCAATTCAACAAACATTTACAGAGCATTTTCTGGGCTAGCAATGGAAATATGTAAACAGTAGTCTCTGCCCTGAGGGTTCACGGTCTAATGGAAGAGGCAAACAGGCAAACAGAGGGAAGGGTCAAAGAAAGTTTCATGGAGGAGATGACTGCCAGGCTACGTTTTAAGCAAGGAATGACTTCCCAGTGAAGGGGAGGATTCCAGGTGGAATGGGAAAACCAATATGGTGTGTTTGCAGGCACTCCATGCCTCCAAGCTCCAGTTAAGTGATCCAAATTCCACCTAGGCGTTAGAATCAGATAGCCTGGGTTTGAACCTCTACTCCACCAATGACTAGCTGTGCCAATGGGAACAAAACATTAACTTTTTAAAGCCTCGGTTTCCTATGTGCAAGAGAGATGTCATTATAGTACGTTTCTCATGGAGTGATTAGTGAGAATTAAGTAAAATAATGCATGTAACATGCTTAGCAGAATACCTAGAAAACAGCCATGAGTCAATACGTATTAGGTATTATTATTATTATTATTATTATTGTTCTTATTATTATTTCTAGCACTACTACTACTACTATTACTATTGGTACAGAGTGCAGGGGAAATAGGGGAGGTGACAGATGAAACTGCAGCACTCAGTAGGGATGAGAACACAAGGGAACATGAATGCCACGTGGTGGAGCTTGTTCTAATCTTGCAGGGACAGCAGTGTCAAAAAGGGGTTCCAAGCAGAGAAGAGATGCAGAGAGATGCAGCCAGACATGCCTCTCTGCGATTTCTTCCGACTTGAAGTTCCACATCCCCAAAGAGGAGGCAGGGCCGGGGACCCTCTACCAGTAGTCACAGCGCATTCAAGAATGAGCAGCCCTCACTGTTGTGACTAAACACACCCAGGAGTGTGGGCTGCAGGCTGAAACAGGCAGGACAAGAACACTAGTTAGAGGGTTAAGTGAGAGATGGGATGAGAAGAATGGAAGCTGGCCTACCAGCCCTCCTCACTCAAGAGACATTTGGACCAGAACCTCTTTATGCCTGGAGGGCAGATAAGGATAAAAACTGCCCCCTGCTTCTGCTGGGGGTACCAGTAGCAGTGAGCTTGTTCAGACAGCAGAGGGAACTCTTCACTTAACTTTCAGCCACTCCAAGGCCACGTCCCACTGTAAGGAAGGCCAGGAGGGATATTTTTTCAGGCTTGGACAGAGAGGGCAACGAAGAAGATTGTGAACTCAGCAGATGCTACTCGAAGATCCAGTGAGCAACCACACTAGGATGTGGCCGCTTTCTCTGAATGGGCCTATGGCTGCCTATCCTCTGATGGGTGGCATGGATGGTCATCTCTGGTGATACCACCAAAAAGATGTGAATGTCAGTTTTACAGATAGAGAAACCAAGGCCCAAAGAGGAAAAAAAAATTGCCTAGTAGTTGAACTCATGAGTCACTGCAGGAAATTTATAACTTTGTTCTTTGCATACAAAATAGTTACTATAATAAGAAGCTAAGCTGCCATCATCAGTGAATATATTACAAATATTTTTATTTCTTAAATACCATGATGACATAAACATTGTCCTTTTCCCTGCCAAGGAAGCTTTAGATAGCACGCTCCCTGCTTAGATCTCTTTAATCCTATATCCTCTTCAAATTGAGCACTAGGATGTGTTTATCTCCTCTGTCTAGAAAAGCAGCCTTGAGAAGGAAACCTGGTCTCTGGAATCAGATAAACATGGGTGTGAATCTCAGGGTTTCCATCAACTTGCATGACTTTGCATCACTGACCATGTCTAGGCATAAGATTAGCCTTGCAGAGTTATTCTGAGAATTACATCAGCTGAAATATGTAAAGGTACACAGACCAGGATTGGTGCACCCTTAAAGGAAGGATGGCAATCATTACTACCAGTGTTAGTGTTCTTACTACCACTGCCTGGCTGAGTGACAGAGGACAATGTACTTAATCTGTCTGGTCCCCAGGCCTTTTTCCATCTCTCAAAGCAAATTAGTTATACCTCTCTCATGGAGTTGTTGCAAAGATCAAGTGCAGTGAGATACATACAGTGACAAGAATGGCACCTGGTACCTATAGGAACTCAGGCCATGTTTGTTTCCTTCCCCCACCTTCCAGTCTTTTGTAAAAGCCCAAGTGGAAGCAATCAAGTTTTTTTTAAAATCCTAAGGTACTCTATTGCAAAATGAGAAATAAACAGGTTTTCCTTTTGCCCTCAAAATGGAAACAGAATAGTCATTGTCTCATCAAAGGATCATGGAAAAAGATCTGGTGTCTCCAGTTTCCAGAGTAGAGAAAGATACTTAATGCATAATCTCCTTATTTTTAGGGAACTGCTCAGAGGACATCTTATGTATCCTGGAAAGGGCTCCATTCAAGAAGTCATGGGCCTACCTCCAAGGTCAGTAACCGAATGCAGGAACCCCAGCCAGATGAGACCACTTCCTGTGGCCTTTCTGAAATCTCTAAGCCAGAGTTCACAAGTAGAAGCCCATGGCAAGATGTGACCTGCAGATGTCTTCTGTTTAGCCTGCATGGTATTTTTTTACAATTTGGATATAAATGCCGTGGGGACGGGGAGAATAATACTCTCCAAAGCTCAAAGCTCCTGCTCCTTCAGCCTCATTCCCTCCTTTACGTTTGCCTCCTTGGCCTCTGAAGGCATCTGTGTCCCACCCCACCGTCCCTCTTCACTCATCTGTCTTCAGGTTGGGGGCCAAATATACAGTACTCTTCCTCATGCAAGGGAAGCAGGCTCTTAATCTCTGCCTCTATCAAGTTATTCACAAGGGAACCACAAAATTGCCTTGTGCCCAGATTGACAGCTTAATGAGCATGTTGGCATGGGCCTATTTGCATATTGCAGCATGCCTCAGGGAAGAGGCCTCTTATAAATGAAATAATAGGAGGCATTTACACTGGGGAAGATGAGGTGCAGAGGAGATGGCCAACATCCTCTGAAATAGCCATTCTGCTCATTCTAAAACTTCAGTTTTGCAGTTAGATGAGTTCTTATTCTTCAACTGAATCACAATGAGGTTTAAAGGGAAGCAATTAAAATGAACATGACAGCTTCCCAGTCCTGAAGGCACCCTTACCAATCAGTGCTGATTTTCACTTGTTAAGACTCAGAGATCTGGCTTCAGACACCAACATGTCAGCTTAGAGGGTCTGCTAATTCTCTATTTTTCTATATATCTCAGCTGGGAAGAGTCCTTTAATGTGCACTTGAAGGGTCTACACAGTTATATTTGGCCACCCTTTTTAAGAGAGGAAGACATTTAAAAATTCAGACAATGAACAGTTAAAGGACACATGTTTGTGTGACAGTTAAAAACAGATTCTCCTGGACCTCTTGATGCCTAAACTAGTTACTAATTGAACAAAATTGAATGCTTTATCTCTGATACTCTGTGCAATGCCTACCAAATAGTGGTCTCTCATTGACCAAACATTCATTAATTGACTGAATAAATGAGCCTGACAGTCCAGAATTTATGGAGAATACAGTCTAGGACCTTATAGTCTAAAAAGGGAAAAATAATAATTAGAACAATAACAGAATAATGTAATAGTTAAGTGGAAAACAATTGTGTAGGAGGCAGAGGTCTAATGCCGCGTGTGTTCTGACCCTTCAGCTTTATGCATTACAGAAGAGGAAGAGGGGTGGTTTTGCACCTGTGCCTTGACCATTAAGCAGCACCTAGGAGTAACGCAGAAGATACTCCAGATGGCTGAAACAGCAGGCAATATACAGAAAACACTGGTCTTGAATAGGGAACCTTAAATAAAGACTTCAAACTTTCCAATCTGCATCTGAAATTTGCCTAATAATTCTGGGGTTCTTTTGTCCCTCTCTTTCCAGTGTCAAAGCATATAAACAAAACCAAGTTGTCTTGGAACAAAGATGGCATTATCCATGGAGTCCGATATCAGGATGGGAATCTAGTGGTCCAGTTCCCAGGTTGGTACTTCATCATTTGCCAACTGCAGTTTCTTGTGAAATGCCCAGAACATTCTGTCGACCTGAAGTTGGAGCTTCTCATCAACAAAGATGTCAAAAAGCAGACACTGGTGACAGTGTGTGAGTCTGGAGCGCAAACTAAAAACATATACCAGAATCTCTCTCAGTTCTTGCTGGAGCACCTCCAGGTCAACACCACCATATCGGTCAAGGTGGATAAATTTCAGTATGTGGATACAAATACCTTTCCTCTAGAGAATGTGTTTTCCATCTTCCTATACAGTAGTTCAGACTGAACTGTTTCTTCTGGCTTTTAAGAAGAAAGGAACTCTCTATCATACAGCACTTCATCCATCCAGGCACTTGGGGGGAAAAAAAGAAAATTTTAACCAAGACTAAAACCACGAAGGGAATTAAATAGCACACTTCTCTTTCTGTCTCTTGGGAAGATACAGCTCCAGGGTTAAAAAAAAAAAGTAAAGAAAAGAAAAGGGGGTTTTGAGTGAAGTATCTTTCAGAAAGAAGGCAGGGAAGCAGTGTGGTGTGGTGGACAGAGCCCCACACAGGAATCAAAAGGGATGGATTTAGGCCCTAGCCCAACCATTAGCTCACTGTATGACCTAGAGCTAGTCCTTCCCCTCCTTGGAACTCAGGATCCATGTCTGAAAAATCAAGGGGCTAGGTTTGAATATCTCCAAAATCTCTTCCATCTATAAAGACCAGGCTCTCTCATCACAGACTTGTGAACTAAGATTCCAGGCAGTGTTCTCAAAAGCCCCCAGCCAAAGGCCCCACACACTGGCATAAAACTGACAGTACTTGTAGTTCTGGCTGCACGTCACCTCGACACAGTCAGGATTTGGGGACAAGATTCAGGGCACCTTGCCAAATAGTACGAACTGTAGGATCTCAAATGTGTAAAATTGAACATCTGATACCTTCTGGGTATTTGGAAAACCATCGACCAGGCATGACTCCACCTCAGTTAAGACTGACAGTAAGTCAACCACAGACAGCTTTTGTTTCCTGTCAGGAAAGCACCGTGAGTTCAGCAGGCACTCAGTCAGCATGCAGGGGTCAAGGTGACCAGTCATCGAGTCAGAGGACAGCCGCTGCCATCCCCCACGTGATCGCTTTCTGTTTTCTGCTTCAACCATCTGTCAGGAACATATTTCTGTGGAGGATTTCTAAGGCCCCACAACATTGCTGATAGACAACGATGACTCTGAAAATGGTGAAAAGGACTTCTGAGGCCACGTCCCCTTCTGATTTAGGAAGCCAGGACATTTCAATCAACGTTTACATTTGTCCATTGTCGGCTTCGAAGGAGCACCTTGTTTGTTTGAGAGAAGGACCACTGACTTGAAGCATAAACCCCTGAGGTTATGCATCAGAAGTACACGGACCCTCACCTGCTATGCAAAAGAATGGAGCAAAATTTTTTATTTTTCTCAAATTGAAGGAGAGAAAAGAAAGGAGTTAAGAATTCAGGAAAGTCTGTCAGAGAAAGACTAGAAAATATTTAAAAGAAGGGGAAAAAAACCCAGCAGTGCTGGTATGAATGAGAGGGGCTTTGGAGAACAAAAATGGCTAAGGGAGAGATTTAAGGCATTTACTGAGCAGGGTGCTATGTTGACCCCTCCTAGGTCTCCACTATGAAATATTCAGTGAAGTCTACATTTCTCTTTAACATGTTTCTGTGAGCAGATTCTTTGGGAAGAGTAAGCATTGGGAAAGGTGTTGAATTCAGCAAGCCAAGTGATAGGTGGTAAAAATAGAGAGGCTTTGAGAACCCAAAGCTACAAGAGAGTTTCTGGTATTTATACCCTAACTCTGTAGGATAAATGAAATCTTGCTTAAACCAACTAATGCACTCTTGAAAAGGTATCTGCAACCTAAACATGTGTAAACTAAGCAAATTTTCTACCATCTCATACTCTAACTTGAGAAAGTTTTCATTTTCATTTATCACCAACCCTTCTCCGAGCTGAAGTAGGTACCTTATTTTTACATCACAAAGAGTTCTTAATCTTAGCCTCTGTCAAGCAATGCTCTGAAAGCCAACATCTGAATACACAGGAAGCACAAAATGTAAAGGAATCCAGTAGCAAAACAAAAAAAGTACAAGACAATAATCAATAACTCAACTTATAATACATAGGAGTGGACATCCTAGAAAGTTTAAAATGAAATTCTGTCACTCTCTGAGGGTCACCTACCTCTTGGGAATGTTGTGTGCAAATGATACCATCTATGCAAGTAAAACAAATCATTTTGCTAACTGGGGACCCAGACTACTGAAAACATGCCTCTTCGGTAAAAACTCATCTGGAGTTCACAAACTTCCACCCCCAAAATACACACACACACACAGTACACTGGTAGAATTTGTAGAGGAAGGTGATGAATGAGTTGATGAAAAATAACAAGTCAGGAGGGAAGGTATAGCTCAAGTGGTAGAGCACATGCTTAGTATGCATGAGGTCCTGGGTTCAATCCTCACTACCTCCTCTAAAAATAAATAAATAAACCTAATTGCCCATACCCTCCAAAAAATAAATAAAAATTAAAATAAAAAAACTAACAAGTCAGTGTAAATGTACTCCTGCCTTTATGAAAATTCATAAGACTTTCTTCATCCACATTTGACAACTTTTCCTTCACCCAGTTTCTCCATCACACACTGATGTCTCCTGTAACTCCCTTATTCAACTTCTCAGAATTGCTCCTGGTCACAAAAAGGTTGGCCCAGAGAAGGGCCCAGCACCCCTAGCAGGGCTGATATGAATGGGCACCAAAGGGAGGAAGTACTGAGGAAAACTGGGCAGAATTTACCACACAAGGGAGGCTTCCAGAATCCCTGGAATTCCACTGATTATTCTGGCACTGGGAGACAAAGAAGTCAGTCAGTGTCATCTGTGGAAAGATCCTGAGAGATCAGCTAAGCTAGCGTTTGAACGGAAGCCCAGTTTGGGGCAGAGACATAAGTCCTCATTATGTGGTTGGTAGCTGAGCTGGGATTTGAGCCCAGCCTCCTGACTCCATTATCTCCCACTAGGTCCTACTGGTCTCCACCAGCAGCCTTTCTATAACTCAGGTCACATCTTTCCTGCCCTGCCCTGGAGCAGTTCCCAGCATTCAGGGATTCCTCTGTTTCTCCTAGCCCCTCTCAAATCAATCCAGGATCATTTTAATGTGTCTATAAATTCTGTACATGCTCAAATCACAGAAAAAGGTTAGTGTCCCATGATGTAAAAGTTCTCTCTCTCAGAAACTGAAGAAATATAAGGATGATATTTTGCAATAAAAAAATTAAAAGCATGTTTTAATTTGAGGCTATGCATATATGTGTGTATGTATATGTGTGTGTAAGTAGGTATGTGTATATAAATATGTGTATATAAGAGTGTACACATGTGTATATTATATACATACACATATATGTACGAGTGTGTGTATATGCTTTTCCCTAATAATTGTTTTACAGATCATATACTTAACCTAGGGTCAGAGAAGGAAGTCTGTTCTTGCTTTGGATATTGCAAAACTTATGTATGCTTGTATTTATTTTTAATTATAAAAAGAACAGAAAGTAATATTTTTCCCATGCCTTACCAGTGTATTTAATAACTATTACTATTTTGCTATATTTGCTTCCGCTTCTTTTAAAAAAAAGTAACAATACAGATAAAGTCTCACCCCTCCATCCATTTCCCTATGCCTTCCCCAGAGGTAACTACTGCCTGGAAGTTTGCATGTCTCCTTCACTTACATAATTTTTATATTTGTTTACCCATAAGAATATATGGTACAATTTTGTGCGGTTTTAAAATTTTCAATAAATGATATCATATTTTAAATAACATTTTGTGGCTTGAAATTTTTCACATAATGTTAAGTTTTTGAGATTTATCCAGGTTGACACACGTCAATATAGCTCATTCATTTAACTGCTATATACTATTTCATTGTTTGAATACACCACATTTTTCTCATTCTCCTATGGATGAACATGTAGTTTGCCTCCCAATTTTGTTGCAATAAGGACATCTTCCTGTAACAGTTCCCACCACTTGTTGCCATTTTTCAATACAGCAAAAGTCCTCTTTGAAAATTAGAAATAGTACCCTAAAGCTACTGAGTCAGCCTTGACCAGTGAAGGTTCAGACTTCTCCTCATAAGCTGCAGCCTTGGAATCTAGAGAGTTCTTCCTGCCCAGGCCAGTGCCAGCCTATGACCCAGCACAGTGTGTGCGTGGCTGTTGCAAAATCAGCTCTAGTTGGCCTGTGCTTGACATACACCTTTCCAAAGCACCCAGGGCTCCCTTGGATCCAGTTCTCTTCTTGGAGAGAAAACGAAAAATCCCCATCTTCTTCTCCCCCAAGACCAAATGTCTGTGTTCCTTGAGGTGTGTTCCCTTTTCTCTTTGCACTCCATGTTGTCTCTCCGGGTGACTTAATCAACCCCGTTGCCTTCATCTTCTTGCCAATGACTGCATAATCTCTATCCTCAGTTTGATTCTTCTCATAAAATCCAACCCCATATATTCAATAGCTATTGCACTCTACCCATTAGAGTGGACGACTGGACAGACTCAATGTCTAGTGCAGTGGCTTTCAAGTTTTGGGGTTTTTTGTTCTGTTTTGTTTTGTTTTGTTTCACCATTACCCAGAGGAAGAAATGCTTTACTTTGCAAACAAGATTGCATACACACAAACACACACACCTAAGACAAACATTTCATTAAGTAATACTTACCCCTATTACTTGTGACTGAGCAAAAAAACTTGTGATTTTACGATGCTCTTGTGAGTCACAACCTACAGTTTGCAAAATACTGTTCTAGCGTGCTTTTCCCTGCTCTGGAAGTGGGAAAGCTAAAAATATACTTTCCTTATCCCCTTGCAGCTTGGGCTTTAGAATACCTTGGTCTGAGATGGACAAGATTCTGGAATGTTAGTCCAGTCACCCTGCAAGCACAGCTGTGGAGGCACGTGGTTTTCCTGGAGCTGCATTTGCAGAGGTTCCAGTGTTCAGACACCAGCTTAGTAGGTGTGGCAAGCCTGACTGTAGGGAGAGCAGCATCGTTCTGCTGACGTGGTCTGTTGCAGATTCACGCTGGTTCTAGAACTGGGCAGTAGCGGCTTCCTGATTGGGGCAGTTTCCTGTTCAAAACAGTGGTGTTGTAGCTGTAGAGGAGGTAGCTTCCTGACTGCAAGATTGTTAAGAGACAGCAGCTACCAGAGCAGATCAGTTCCTAGGAGTGGCGTAAGACGTTGCTCCTGAGAGTTCAACCTGGATTGTTTCCTCAGCCCTCTTGACATCTTACAAGCCATTTAATACCCTGGGAATAAATGCCTTCCTGCTGAGCAAGCTGGAGTGAAGTCTGCTCCCTTTAACTGATCCCTGATGGACAGAATCTCAACATGTACAAAACTGACCTCATGACATGCACCCCAAACTTGTCGCTACTCCCATGTTCTAAATTTCAGGGACTATCTGAGACTCTCATGCCCCTTCTTGCCTACTTCCCATACAATCCACATTTGTCCAATTTATCCAGTTCTCTAGTCCCAGCCACCATCATTTCATATGCACCATTCCCATTACTTCCTAACTCACATCCTTGTCTCCTGTCTTACTCCTTACAAATCACATCTCCAGACAGAATAACAACTTTTCATTGTTCTTGAAATTGAAAGTAATAATGATCAGTTACCAAACATGCACTTGTCAAGTACTCGCTCATTTAATCCTCAGTCAGCCTGATGAGGCAGGCAGGTTGCAGGCAACAATGACACTGAGACTCTGAGACATTGAGTGTTGTGGCCAATATCACAAAGCCAGCGCGTGGGAGAGCTGGGATTCAAGCCCTGGTTCATGAACATCCACCTTTTATGCTCCAATCACTCCAAATCTAGCCTTCCTAAAATCCAAGGTCTCCAAACCTAGGTCTCTCCCTCTAGATCCTGCCTTTCTCTTCAGCTTCATGCCTTCATACCCACCTCTCACCTCCCATGCTCTATGCTTAAATGACATTGAACTTCACCCAATTCCTCAAACCTTCTGTGCTCAGCTTTGCCACCAGGTGTTTGCACTTGTTCTTCTTTCTGCATGAAATACCCATTTCATTCTCTTTTGCCTGGTTAACTCCCATCATTGTTCTGACCTCCTCAACAAAGTCTTTCTGTCACTTCTGGCCACACCTAATTCCCTGCTGTCTTTTCCCACATTTGCTTCATCCTTAAGGGCCACCCCTGGTTCTTCTATACTTTACTGTCCACCTCTGATTCTTCTATAGCTCCTTTCTAACATCCAAACTCCCTGAACCCTATTAATCTTATTCAGCACTGGATCGTTACAACTCAACACAGTTACTGGGACAAAACAGACAGCTTAATAGCTGTATTTCCTAAATAAATAATTGAAGAAAAGCTCTCTAAAACAGGCCCTGTCTAGGGAAAAGGTATCAAATAAGCTATCTAAAAAAAGAAATAAAAACTCTTTACCAAATATGGAAATGTAAATTGAAAGG